AACTGAGACCCGAGAAGCCAGTGGAGCCATCCACTTGAACGGAAGGGCTCTTGGCGCCTGATGGCGTATGCTGTGTCAACTACTGCATACAAGCCGCATGTGTGCGTCCCTGCAGTGAGCTACACAAGACATCTCAAAAGCGATTTAATCACGTCAAAGAGACCCGAAAAGTTAGAGAATAACGTATTTACAGCAATCACACAGAGTGTGAGGCCTCAATGAACTCTGGCACACCCCTAAAAGCTGACACTTTAGTTTCTTCTTGTGAATTTGTACATAAATATGCTGTTTGTTGTGGAAACAAAATATAACTCACCGATTTGATTACACGAGAGTATTCGGAGCAGAGCGCATCGGTAAGTTTCATAACGGCTCGGAACATTCTGTAATCAGATAGTGCGAATGTGCATGTGAAATTATTTGGAGAAAGCCGCGGTTCAATGAAATTGTAAATGAATGAACGCATGTGGATGGAACGCAGCTGGCAGCGTGCCCTTGTTACGGCACTAAAAATGCGCGTTCATTCGTCATGGACAGAAGTTATTTCTTGCATCAACCTTGATCGTGCTAAGCAAGAAAGAAACTGATTGACAATTGCGGTTACTTGTAAGAGTAAGTTCGATTCTGCCCCGTACTCACCCCAATAAACGTTCGTTATCTAAGCCTTTATAAATTACTTCAAATCTTCTATCTAACACAAGTGCGAAACGTGACAGCGTTGGAGTTATTGCTGCACCAGATATTTATATAACAATGCTATCAGCTAGTCGCGATACTGGCAAAACCGAGATTTGTTTAAACGCTGGGTTTCTTATTTAAACATTATGAAAGCCATGTGCTACATGGAAACCACATGGGAGTCAACGGATGACATGGAGACAACGTATGGAGAGTTGCCAGAGTGATTAGATACAGCAGGCATCTCACCCTTTCCGGGATGGGGTCCAAAAGACTCGGTAACAGGTTAGTTCGGAAGACAATGAAGGACAAGACTCCGAACAGACAGCAATGGGGTTCTTGTTGTCATTTCTTGTCAGGCCAGAATGCTTGAAAAGGTACGTTTATAGTTAGACTGTGTACTCTGTGTTGACTGTTTAGGTCCACTTTCTTTCCTCCTGCCTCAAATTAGGTTCACCTATTTTTCGCCCAACAACAACCGATTCCCTCCACGAGGAGACCTGCTCAGTGTTTCACACTTTAGAGAACAGAACTCATAGTTCTCTAACAAGCTTTATTCCACCATCTTTAAATGAAGCAGGGGAGAAGGCTGTCGGAGCCTGGAGCTTTGTGACGTCCCAAGACTTGTATCTCCTTACGGATTTCAGCCTCAGGAAGTAGGTCTATTGTGACAGACAATAGGACCTGTGCCGGAATAGCTGTGTAAGGAACTGACGCTGGTGGCCAGCTAAACTGTGCTTTGAAGTGCTCCGCCCAGCGTGTAAGACGTTGCTGTTGATTGTGAATGGGCGAACCGTCAGCTTCGCACATCGTTTCGCTCACACCCAAGGCTTTCCTACCGGTGACTCGGATGAGATGGAACAGTTTACGGGAATTTCCCATGACAGCAGCACGTTCCACCTCTGATGCACGTTGAGTCCACCAGATCTCGTGGTCTTTGTGTAGGCTTACGGTGAGGTTACGACTCGTTGCTCGTCGTATTTCATTATGCTCGCTGCCGGTCGGGATTGATCGGCGTGCGCCGAAAAGGCGTAGATAATGCGCAGAAATCAAGGGTGTCGCAGCACGACGTGTCAGAACACAACTAACGAAGTCAGCTGAATGCAGAGCATTCTTCATAAGCGACCAGTGCTGGTTAACGTCATCGGGTGGGGTTGGTCCTAGCTTTTCAGCTAGCGCGTTCAGAAAGACAGTTAGGCGTGCTGGTTCAGACAACTTATCACAGTCTGACCGTCGATGTGTCATACGTTTGGAACGCCCAACGAAGTAAATGGAGAGCTTGGCGCAAAGTAACGCGTGGTCGGATTCGAGGGGAGTGCTAGAGTGCGATCGGCAGTCGTGTATACAACTCCGCCAATTTGAGCTTATAGCGATGTAGTTGATCTGCGTCCGTCTCTGACTCGAGGAGGGCGGACGCTGTTTGACCTTAAGAACGTCGGAACTTAGTATAAAACTCGGATAGACATGGTGTCGATTTTATGCCTTGGGAGCGGAGTTTTTGTCTGTGTGTAGTTTAATATTCAAAGTCACTCGTTTGCATAAGCGGACAGAAAGTTATGATAACTATGAGATTCACTCCGTCTACTGTTCCTCAGGCTGAGATGTGTACAGACGAAAGCATTATCAACCACCAAAATCTCTTTACGTATGGAATATACTGCTATTGGTCAACGGATGCGACAGTGAAAACAGTCAAGTATCGGGAGGAGAAAGTAATGTGAGGTTCAACGGATTACTGGCAGACAATGGAGGAATACTTACGTGGCCACAATGGAAGTTAGTCGTTCGAAATCAGCCGTAGGTTTGTGCGTTCGCACTAATGTGCATTCAGCAAATTTGTGCAAATACTCCAGTTCGGCCGAGGTAACATCGGCAAGAGCACCAATCGCTGTGTAAAAGAGTTCCTATGTGCAATCGGGGATAGACAGCACAAACAACGTGAACATATCTTGACCACCAATCAATAGGGATAAGTGCAAACACCACTATCATTCAAAGAACAGACTTCACGTAAAATGTAACTCCGCATGACACGTAATAAAAATAGACGCTATATGTAGGAATCTAGTTGCGGCTCTTCAATTCACACCATTATGGAGCTTAATTGTAATGATGGTTAGTGTCGGTAACTAATGGTAGCATAAATGGCGCAAAGCTGGAGAAGCACCAAAGACTGGAAGTGCATGGGAGACAATCGTATAACACAAGAATGGCTGAGGTCATGATCGCACATTTCTCATCCAGTATGCCGCAATTTTGTGCTTGCTCACTGCGCGTACACCGACGTATAAAAAGCATAAACCGAATTCGTCGTGTATATAGCAAATGAAGCGCAAACTGAAAAGCTAGGAAGCACTGGACAGCTGTTTCGACCTGGTTGGCTCTCATCAGCAGTGCGAATCCATCGACCCCATTGGGGATCCAACCCGGGACTTCATGGGTAGAACGTAAGCATGCTGTCCACGAAGCCACCGGGCAGCTGATCAGACCGTTTTTCATTTCCCATTTGTACGATACAGCACAACCCATCTTTGCAAGCTTTTGGCGCGCCACAGATCCTGCTCATCTCATACCAGCCTCCGGGTTATGAATCGGTTGGAAACATGCACATGACTACTTATTTCAATTCACGCTTCATTTGCTTTGAAATTGAACCAAATCCTCCATTGCTCACTTGCGATTTACATCCTTCTTGGGGCACTTCGAACGTTTTCACACAACCTTATTCTGTGGTCCTTGATTTGTCAACTCTGTAAGTTATCTAACTTTCACCTATCGGCCGAAATACTATATAAACCGATAGATGTACGTTCGACTTCCGGTTTTAAGTACACGTTCTATTTATTGTCCAACGCTGTGATCTCACAGGCGTATCTGAGAGAAGGTTACCAGTATGTTTGGGCATGATATACTACTGCTATCATGAATTGCGACTAGAGGAACATCGTAGATAAGGAGATGTTAGCTCTATAACAAGAGGTGAGATAAGTTTAATTGATAAAAACAGACAGAAAGTAAAAACAAATCCAGCAGACATTCCGAAATGTTTGACATACCTCAGACGATGTGGCCTCATTCGTCGATTTTGTCTCATTCCACACACTGGTAATACTCTGAAATTCGAGATAATAGAGAGAGCAAGGCAAACCGGTAAGTCTACAGACGTTAAAATCTACTCAGGTGAGGCATTCAGACTACATCCGCATTCTCATAATGAGAGTTTAAAGTTCCTCATGACTCAATCTATTTAATTAGGCGCTGAATGGACCGAAATGAAAGCTCAATGCCGATGTCGAAACTGATACGTTCCTTTCATCATCATCGTCGTACAGCAAGAAACAGTGAAGCGAACCTCACTACCAAGACCACAGTGTACAGGAATCAAGTGATAAAGCACAACAGCGAGGGATTGGGCCTAATTGGACGGGGGTAAAGAAAGTGAATCTCTATGGTCAACACACAGAGTGCACAATCAAACTCTATACACATACCGTTTCACGCATTCTGGCCTGATAAGAAATGACAAAAAAAAACAACACTGCTGTCCCTTCGCTACCACATCCTTCAATGTATCCAATCAACCAGTTGCGGTCTCTCAGACACCTACCTGGAAGGCGCGAAAAACCTACTCTACCTAATCGCGCGGTGCATTACTTCGTGCATCGTTTCTACATCATCTGTTGACCTAACTTCACGGGACTTTTTAACCTAGAGGCACAAGTGCAAATAAAGTACGGTGCATGCGTAATACGTGTCCCGACAGCGAAGCCGACTAATCTGAATTCGATGGGACAACGAACCCTCCATCGAATCAGTATCATTA